TTGACCCTAGCATATTGGCGTAACCAGGGTGCCATTTCATTGAGATTCACGGTGGAAGGGGCCATTGAATTTACCTGCCTTGACGGCTGGTTTTCTGTTAGGGAAAGGCTGATTGGGCTTGTATGGGGTCGGTTGGACCCCATTCCCTCGAAAGCAGGTCTTAAAGCTGTGGGAATGTTTGCCACACCTACCCCATTTGTGAGTGTACTTACAGTTGACCCTGCTACAGCCAAATTTATTGAAATCCCAGCATACCTGACTGGCGATGTCCCCCTGTATGCGTGTCATTGCGCCCCGTCCGCCTGATTCTGGTTGTCGTACCGGCTGTGTGACCATGTACTTCAGCCACAACTCCCTGTCGATGTTGTCACAGCGTCGTGAGGGGTCCCTTGACATTCTGTGTCGAAATTGTTGGTCGTAGATTGATCAGGCCTCCCCCTCGAATCGAAGTGACGCCGTTCTTATGGTTTCCATGTAGGACAGCAACCCCTGGGTTGTGCGGACCTCGGAGTGCCTACTAACATAGATATAAATGAAAATGTGGAAAGCTGAAGTCCAGCTTGCCAGGGACAGGCGCTTTGGTTGCTGCTTTATTGGTTTAAAAATTATCTTACATGAGGAGTCGTACGCCATGGTAATCGTACCATCCTCGTGACTTCCCTCGGTGTTTGGTAGGATTGTGCCGAGGTCGACAAACTCGCCACGCCAGATTTTTACCCTCACCTGTTGTTTGACGTGTGCGTCTATTCCATCCGCACAGAAAGATAGGGAATCCCCGTATCCTGCGTTCTGATTGGCTGGCCAAGCCGCGTCACCGTCGGCCTCGTTGTGAGCATCGGGGATTCTCCCTATGTTGGGCGAAATGGCGGGAGAACTAAAACCAAGCCTTACCTGTTGGTTTGCGCTAACCGGGCCGGGTGCTTAATGTTCCAGCAACTGGAGTATTTTTTCCAGTTGCTCGTTTACCTGGGTAGCCGAGTTGGCAGCCTGCGCTGCATTTACGAGCTGCGCCGATTGCAGGTTAATTGTGTTGCCACCTTCGATATTTCCGTAATTGGAAGACTCACCATCAGCTGTTGCCTCCTGCATAATGTGTACTCCCGGGGTTTGTCTCCTGGTTGTCCTGGCCTGCTTGGCTCCCCTCACAAGCTTGTGGTTGACGGCTGATCTTCTCTTGGGAGGCATCACGAAAGGTCGAGGTGGTGAGTTGGTATTCCACAAGTGAAAATGTCCCGAGGATGAAGTTCGGGAGTAGAACGAAATAAATGCGATACGGCGACTGCTGAAATAGGTTGTATTCAAAGCGTAATCGGCGAAACGGTCGCGATTGTGTAAATGCGATACAGATAGTGATGAAATAGATGTTTTTCAAAGCGTAATCAGCGAAACGGTCGTGACTGGGTGCAAAGGAAACGTACAAAGCGAAAGCGATTAGATACAGCAAAACGCGTGTGTACTTGAAGAGGGTCAGTGCGCGAATGACGGGCTTTAACAAAGGCGGGATGATGCTTGCACGGGCTTATTCCCCGGGCACGGTGCAGAGTGGTGACCCGGGGTTGATTGGGTTACGGACGTAATTAGCCAATGGTTTGGATACGCGCTATAAAGTCATTTAGTAGTTAGTACTAAATGTAATTATAATTTTACCAAACTATTACCAATGTGTTATCTTTATAACATTGCGAAAATTTTATGATCTACTACAACAATCTTAGTATTTATTATTGTATACAATATTACAATGCATATATAGATCTATATTTTAAAATTGTATTCAGCATATTAATTATATTTTATTATATACGCCTAAAAAAAAGAAACGCAAAGCCAGATTTGTGTGAGGTAGGAAAATACATTCATTTAAGAAACCGTACAAGGAATTGAGCCAAAATGTTGTGGAGAGAACACTTTGTAATGTTGATTTTTCTATTTTTTACCAAATATGACAAATATTATTTTGAAAAAATTATGAAAAAGGATCGGTATCGGTGGTATCGGTGATCAGTAAGAATTGGAACCTAGGTAAAAAATTGAAGTGTTTATTTGTACATTTTGACGGAAAATTTGACATGAACCAAAATCAACTCTCTGTCTGTAGAATGAAAATTATCAAAATCCTTATTTCTGAAAAAATTGAATGGTAGATTTTCTTGAAATCGTGATTAAAAACCCATGAAGATTATGGAATACTTCACTAATATTTCAATGTAACCAAAAATGTCATGATATACACAAGTGAAAATTTCAATGATACTAATTCGCATAAACTTTAAACTCACATAGTTCTTTAATCGGACCAATGTAACTAAGGACTTGCTTAATCCTCCTCTTCAAAACTGATGCATAAATAGGACATTATTTACAATTTTGTTGACTGTGTGTCCACCATCTTGGTTTTGAAGTCTGCGTCACGAGTTATGATCGGCTATACTACAAAGTACTAGAAGACCAACCTGTAAGTCCCGTGACCAAATCATGGAAACAAAGGTTTGAAAGTGTTTTTGAGTTTCCTGATGTATACTGAACAATTTTGACTTGGGCTGCCCGGTTGAAAATCCTGGGCATTTTGGGGAAGGGTCAACAAAGGTCACACAGGGGTCAAAATCCAAAATTGTGTCGATATGCATATCAAATTACTCGTCCAGTCATAAGAAACCTAGAAATATATAGTTTGTTATACTTCCGACCTTAAAAGGGGGAGCTATGGCCAAAAACGTTGAAAGGTCAACGCACTTTTGGCAGTCGGTGAAATTCACAAACACAGTTAACATTGTCCGATAGTCATGATTTTAGTGTCAAATAATATATCTTCTGACATGACACATTCAACCAAGCAACTTTTAAAAGTAAAAAGGGTTACCTTGACCTTGAAAATCGAAAATGGTTGGCTGCATGAAGAATTGTAATGCTTCAGCAAAGTCACAGGATCCTTGGCCAATAACGCAGCATATTTCAGAATCCATTGTTCAGTAATGCTTTTCTAACCTTACTTTAGTGCACAGTTCATCATCCTACTCTGTGTCATACCAATCAGATGCAGAGTCGGAATCACTGTCACAATCACTTGAATCTAGAATCTGTGTCCGATTCTACAGAGCAGTTTGCTCTGGCATCACTCAGATGTTGAGGCAGTGCTGGCTGTGAATACCGTATTGGCAAGTAAGCATTTCTGGACAATGGATTCTGAAATATGCTGCGTTATTGGCCAAGGATCCTGTTTCCAATGACTTTGCTGAAGCATGGCAACCATTTTCGATTTTCAAGGTCAAGGTAACCCTTTTTACTTTTAAAAGTTGCTTGGTTGAATGTGTCATGTCACAAAATCTATTATTAGACACTAAAATCATGACTATCGGACAATGTTAACTGTGTTTGTGAATTTCACCGACTGCCAAAAGTGCGTTGACCTTTCAACGTTTTTGGCCATAGCTCCCCCATTTAAGGTCGGAAGTATAACAAACTATATATTTCTAGGTTTCTTATGACTGGACGAGTATTTTGATATGCATATCGACACAATTTTGGATTTTGACCCCTGTGTGACCTTTGTTGACCTTTCCCCAAAATGCCCAGGATTTTCAACTGGGCAGCCCAGGTCAAAATTGTTCAGTATACATCAGGAAACTCAAAAACACTTTCAAACCTTTGTTTCCATGATTTGGTCACGGGACCTACAGGTTGGTCCTTGACTAAAGGGGAAGCTAGCCAAGAACAATAGTAAAATCACAAAAACAGAAACACTGGTAGCTTTCTTACACATTCTAAGTAATGATAACTCTGTAAAAATCAAAACACAATGTCTTCACTCAGATAGTGAATTAGCCAAGATGCTTGGCGTGCCATAGCCGACTGATGAACCCCGGCTCTGGCAATCAGCACATTTCACATCAGTGAAGGCAATCAGAGCAGACTGCTTATCCTATCTGTATACATCTTTGTTTTGACCTTTGTACTTAAGCATGTGACCCATGAAGATCTGGGGCAGAATAGGTATTCAGCTACCCAGGCTTGCTGTAAAAAGCGACTATGCTTGTCGAAAGAAGCGACAAATGGGATCAGGTGGTCAGGCTGATACATGACATTGTATCCCAATTGCATGGATCGATGCTCATGATGTCAATCACTAGATTGTCTGCCCCAGACTCGATTATTTACATACCGCTATCAAATATCTGGAATATTGCTGAATGTGGCGTGAAATAACAAACAAATCAAAACAAAAAACTGACGCATGATCCTTACACTGTCACAAAGAAGCCGAAACTTTATCCCACCAAAGATGGCAACTGAAATTGTTCAAAAGATTCAAATACAGTTTTCAATTTTGCAACCACACAGCCATATTGAAAAACCTATTTATTGTTCAGTCGTTTTTGTCCACCTTTTGGATGAGATACTTTTTACCAGTTTTAGCTAACCTGAACTGAATGTTGTCTGTCATGTTTCGTTTCCATTCCATCCAATTTAATCAGTAGTTCAAGGCAATATGCAGTTGAGCTGTATGGACTTTTATGCCATATTGAACATTTGGACGTTGGACGACTGTGCTTGTCAGAAGAAGCAACTAACGGGAACGGGTGGTCGGGCTCACTGCTTGGTTGATGCATGTCATAGATCCCAATTGTGTGGAACGATGCTCATGATATCAATCACTGGATTGTCTGCTCCAGACTCGATTATTTACAGACCGCCGTCATATAGCTGGAGTATTGCTGAGTGCGGCGTTAAACAACAAACAAACAAACATAACATTTTGGTGACCATTAGATATTCTCTCCATATGCATTCTGTTTGCTGTAGAGACACAAGTCCAAGGAAGATTACATTTAGCAAACATGTTGCTAGTACTGATTGTTCATTAGTTCATATTTTGAAATCTTGTCTCATGGTCTGATCTTCCACATATTCCAGAAGAAATCAGTGAAACTACACTCAGCTTTGAGGCTCTATGTGTGATGACACTGATCTGATTTGACTGATTTTTAATGCTTTCCTTTTAGGATGGAAAGGCCTTTCCGTGATGTCACCTGCTGCCTTCCCTGGCCTGCTCCAGAAATGTCTGTTGAGGCATTTTCCAGAAGGTAAAGCTAAACTCCCTTCCCAATCCTTGGATGTCAGCTGGCTCAGGCAAGTGTGGACCTATATTACAGCCCATGGATTTGATGTTGAATCTGTGTTCAGTGGTTTTCTCATTGTGCCGGATATTGATGCTTCCGGCAGAGGAAGACTCCACAGCATCGATGATGTCTTTATTGCTCAGTCAGTGAGACACTCTGAATCTTTACCTCCAAATGTTGGTGCAGCGCTGCAGAAACTAGGCATTGTCCATTTAATGTATGTTCCTGACTTTGTGCTGAAAAATTCTCATACACTTGGGACAATCATTCAGTACTCAAATCCAGTTGGTGTTGTAAGAGCATTAGAGAAAGTATACAGGAAACTTATCACAGCTGTACAACTGTTCAACTCCGAATCCTCCAAACAGGAAAGGTCTGCTTTGGTTGCCTACATGAGCACCTGCCGGTTGTCCGAGGGAAGTAAAGCAGTGTTGAGGAAGTTACAGCTATTTACTGCGACAGACAACAGTGATTGTTCATTGGAAACCTTATGTACTCTGGCTCCTGATGAACAAATACCTGTACCCTACCTAGAGAGGTACATCCAGTGTTCATCTGCTGCAGTGAGACACCTGGCCCTGACACTTGGTGCAACAGAAAAGCCATTTCTTGATGTCAGTCGACAAATCCTTCAAATGATGCTGCACAACAAAAGAAAATATACAGAAAGTCATAAGGTAGATTTTATGGAGTTTCTCATGGAGAATCACCTTCATATTGTGAATGAGACCAGGCAAATTGCTTCAGAGGTACGGTTCCTTTCATCCAGTGGAGGGTCATCTGGACTGAGAGCTTGTGATCTGTTTAGCAGAAATGATCCATCCCTGAGAAAGTTGTTTCTTGGAGAGGACAAATTCCCAGCAGAGAGGCACACACGAACAGACAGACTGAGAAGAGGATTAGAAGCAATTGGTCTTAAAACAGAGAAAGAAGTTTCAGAAAGTGATGTTAGAACATCAGCAAAGACAATTGAGGGGCTTGTAATCAGGGGAATGGAATCTGAAGCAGGCCGTAAAGTAACAGCATTCATCACTTTCCTGGAAAGGAGCACAGACAGAATGGATACACTCAAACTATCTGACCTTCAGCATGTGCAATGCATCCCATGCATGCAGAAAAAAATATCCAGATATCCCAAGTCTCTGTCATGGAAAGGAAAATCAGGACCAAATATCTTATCATCAGGAAAGGTTTTCAGTTCAAGATACTCATCTATCATTGGGTCTGTTAGTCCAGTTGCAAAAGAAACAACAGCTGCTGTTGAAGCAATTTTAGGACTTGATAGAGTTCCTCCAGTGTGTTCAGTTATGGAACATCTTCATAATCTTGGGACATCTTATGACAGTAGAGAATGTAATCCTTGTATGGACTTACTTAAGGACATTTACAGCTTCCTGAGTTCTCAAGATGTATCAAGTACAGAGAAGAACATGATGGAGTCATCACAATCTGTGTGGGTGGGAATAGAAGAAGGTTTCCACTCTCCCCGGTCAGTGTATTGTGAAAGATCTGATGCCGACCTGGACCTGAAGCCTTACAGATACCAGCTGCCATCTCTGTTGCATGGCTGGGGTTCATTACTATGTAGCTATGGCTGCCACCAGAGACAAACACCTGACATGTTGGCCACTGTCCTGGAAGAAATAAAAGAAAAGCATGATGAATTCAAAAATGCCAACTTAAAGAAACCAACAGTTGTGCGACAAGATCTGAAGCTTGTTCTTCAAATACTAAATGAACTACAAGAACACCCTCAGAGACCTGACCATGTGTTGGTGCCAGTGCACCAGGCATCTGATGATTTCCTTCTCTTGTTGCCAGCAGAATACTGTACCTACTGCAATGCAGACTGGCTGCAGGATCAGATCTCTGTTGGTGCTGAAGAAGGTGAAGAAGAGAAAATATTTTATGTTCATGCTAACATATCAGAGCACACTGCACAACAGTTTGGAGTTTATTCCCTGACTGATCGTGTTATGGATGACACTGAAGACTTTGATATGGAGTATCATCAGTCAGAACCATTAACACGAAGACTGAAAAACTTGCTCCATGAGTACACAGATGGATTTTCTGTCCCAAAGGAGCTGATACAAAATGCAGATGATGCTGGTGCTACAGAAGTCTGCTTTATGTATGATGAGAGACAGAATCTGAATGCTAGAACTTTCCTCATGAATGAGAACATGGCTGGTTTGCAAGGTCCAGCCCTCTGGGCCTACAATGATGCAAGTTTTACTCAAAGTGACTTTGCCAATTTAAAGAAACTTAGTGGTGCCACTAAAGAAGAAGACACAGCAAAGGTGGGAAAGTTTGGTTTGGGATTCAATTCTGTCTACAATCTAACTGATGTCCCAAGCTTTATAAGTGAAAATACCTTGGTGATATTTGACCCGCACAAGTCATTCTTAGGGAGACCTGGACTGAAAGCAAACCTCCAAAGTGTAAAAAATCAGAGGATGTTGAGAAATATGAGTGGACAATTAAAACCATTCGAGGGAATATTTGGTTGTCAGTTCATGAAAAAGGGAAAACTTGACAGTACATGTCATGGAACGCTTTTCAGGTTCCCTTTGAGGACACCAGAACAGGCTGCAGCAAGTAAAATTAAAGACTTGTCCTACTCAAGGCATGAGATGGAGAACTTTTTCCGAAAATTTGCAGAAGGATGTGGAAATCTTACTCTCTTCACACAGAATGTGTCATCCGTGAAGTTCTTCTATCTACCACTCAATGGAGACCCAAATGAACCAGAACTTCTCATCCATGTGGCAAAAGAAATAAGGGACCAAAGAATCCTGTCACCTCCAAATTCCTTTCTTAATGGACCTAACGTGCTGTCATATGCAGCGGAAGAATGGAAAAAGCAAACAGGGCTGTGCCTGAAAATAAGTGAAAAAAGTGATGTACAGCTTGAAATATGTGACACAGACATGACTAGAATGCAAAAGCTTAAGGCTGGTGTGACCATTGTGTCATGGCTCATAACATGGGTAACTGGTCAGGGAGAATCTGAGCAGTTTGCTCGGTCTGGAAAGCTCAAAGGACTGCTTCCATTAGCAGCTGTTGCAATTCCACTGACTTTGGAAGATGGAAGACAATGTATATATAAAATGGACAAATGTCCTGAAGGCTTCTATAGAGAAGGACATTACTTTTGCTTTTTGCCTTTACCAGTGCACATTCCTTTTCCAGTACATATCAATGCACCATTTGCCTTGACATCAGACAGAAGACAACTGTGTACACAAACAGAAGATGACAAGACGAACTCTGAAGCTGAGTGGAACACTGCTTTGTTAAAAGATGCTACTTGTAGAGCATATGTAGCTGGTCTGGAACAATTAGAGATCACTGACCCTTCCACTGTTGGTCAATATTATGACTTATGGCCTACCATGCAAAGTAGACAGGACTGTATGGTACGAATTTCTATGAGCTTATAACACATGAGGCCCATGATGTGTTTCTGCATGATGACAATGATAATCTGGAATGGTTGTCATTTCAAAGAATACATATTCTTGAACCTGCCTTTCGTTGGAAAGGTGAAATTGGAACAATTGCCTTCAAGGCAACATCACACTTTTTGAAGTCAGCAAATGAAAAAATGGTTGATCTTCCACAAAAACTCCTTGAACAGTTTTATTTGTCTGGACTGGAGTCAAGTGTTACTTCCAAACTTATCACAACAGCAGAGTTTTTCAAGGCAGTCTTTTTCCCAAACATACATGATAGTTACTGGAACCCAACAGAGAGAAATAGCTTGGTATTGTTTGCCCTAAAATGTGAGAATGAAAGTGTTCAAGACCTGATCAGAACATCAAGATGTATCCCAACAGAACCATCAGGTACTTTGAAAATGCCAGGTGAACTAGTTCATCCAAACATGCAGTGTGCAAGAATGTTTTCTGGAGAAGATGAATGCTTCCCTAGAGGAACTGACTTTTGTGACCTGAAGGTGATAGCCATTCTATGTAAGCATGGAATGATCCAAGACAGACTCCCATGGGATCTCCTTGTTCGGCGAGCAATATCAGTAGAGAAACTAGCTGAACAGGATGCAAAAGCAGCTCACGAGAGAAGTGGTAAGATCCTTGGGTATCTTGGCAACCAGTTCCAGTATGGACAGAAACATATTGCCACCTGTCCAGAGGCTACAAAATCTACATTACAAGACATATCCTTTCTACCTGTTAAACAATGCCCCTCATCATGGCCTATAAAGTGGAAAGCAGATGATATGAAAGGAAAATTATTTGCGTGTCCAAGGGAACTGTATTTGAAGAAAGTGTCAAACTTAGTTGCCTCTTCACAGTTAATATTTGATGACTGTTTTGACAGTTATTTTAGAATGGACATGGAAGTTTTGTCTTGGCTTGGTGTGAAAGGAAAGGAAGATGTTGACCTGGAAATAGCTTCAGAACAATTGTTTCTGGTTTCAAAAGCCATGAATGCATTGACTAATAATTCATCCTTCTATGAGCTTGAGAAATTGTGCAAAGATATATACACATTCCTGAACTCTAGGTGTGCTGAAGATGATGCTCATATCACAACGATACAGCAACTTTTACAACATGAAGAGACTGTGCTAGCAAGAAAGCAGATGGTTGAACCAAAGCATGCTGCTTTTGAACTGCCAGTTGATTTATCACCTTATTTGCATCAAGTTGATAAAACCATAGTTCGCCATCAACTGCTTTTGCAGAGCATTGGGGTTAAAAATAAGTTTGAAGTATCTGATCTGCTAGATGTTATGCAGAACATATCCAGAGATACAGGTTCACAACAACTTTCAGAGGATCTGTTGAAATGGTTTGGGAGAGCTACTCAGCATCTTTTAGAGCTTGACCTATCATGTTTTGATCAAGAAGAGTTTGATCTTTCACTTCCAAATTTTGAAGGATTTTTGTTAAAAGCAACCTTACTATGCATTGATGATTATGAATTTGTTGATAAAAATGAATCCATGAAATTTGTGCATCCATGTATACACCAAAAGGCAGCCAAATTGTTAGGTGTGAAGGGAAAGCGAGATGTTCACCTGGAAGGACACATTTCTCATTTTTCCTCAGAATTTGGTCAAAGTGAAAAACTTACAACACGATTAAAACGAATTCTGAGTGGGTACCCATGTGATTCCTCAGTCATGAAAGAACTGCTACAGAATGCTGATGATGCTGGAGCTACTGAACTGATGTTCATAAAGGATTTCAGACATCTGCCAACAGAAAAATTGTTCTGTGATGAATGGGCTTCCCTGCAAGGTCCAGCACTGTGTGTCTTCAATGACAGTTTCTTCACAGAAGATGACCTTGAAGGTATTCAGAACTTAGGTGTAGGAAGTAAGAGTGATGATCCTGTAAAGACTGGGCAGTACGGTGTTGGGTTCAATGCTGTTTATCATCTCACTGATGTGCCCTCCTTCATCACTGTTGGCCCTGGAATGGAAAAATCTATATGTGCCCTTGACCCTCATATGCAATATGTACCAGGGTGCAAATCTGGAAAACCTGGAGTGAGAATATCACCGCTTGACAGGATAAGAGACACTTTTGCAGATAGCTTCTCTGGCTATCTGGAAGATATTGTCAGAACTGACACAAAAGGAACACTGTTCAGATTTCCCTTGAGGACACGGGAAATGGCAAAACAGTCAAAGATCAAAGACAAAAAAGTTGACCCAGATGATGTCAACAAGCTCTTAGAGGAATTCAAGAATGATATGTTTGACACTCTCCTATTCCTCCACAATGTTAAGAAGATATCTATTGCCAGTGTAAACAGCATTGGTAATTTCAAAGAAGAATACTGGGTTAAAGCAAGTCTGAGTGAAGAAGATATTTCTGAACATAAGGGTTTCCTTTCTCACTTGAGGAAACAGACTGATAAAATAAGAGATCCTTGTGCTGGCATTGGCCTTGATGCTGTTTCTTCTTTGGAAGCTGAATTGTCCCTCAGTGTTGAAGATTCTGGAGGTAGACAGCAAGATTGGATTGTGTTTCACCATTCTGGATTTTCTAAAGAAAAACCTATTCCAGAACCTGTAAATGAAGCCTGGGAAAATGGGGATATTTGTCTTTTACCACGAGGTGGTGTTGCAGTGCCACTTACTACTGAAGGTAAAAGTATGATGGCGATCCAGGGGAAAGCATTTTGTACTCTGCCTCTGCCTATCACCACAGGGCTGCCTGTACATGTCAATGGTCATTTTGCCTTGGATCATGAGGCAAGACGAAACCTTTGGCATGGCAATAACGACTACCGGTCAATCTGGAATCGCCATATAGTTGATGCTATCATAATTCCAGCCTATATTCTGGCTATGCAGTCACTGAAAAAGAGAACTGGAATGTTCAAGGAAAAGTCACTGAGATGTCAATATGAAAGTCTCCATTACTATTATAGTTTCTTTCCAGACAGGACTGAGAAAACAAGTGGAGTTTGGAATGATGTCGTCATTTCATTCTACTCAGATATCTTTTTTAACAAAAGAAAGCTCTTTGGAATTGTGAAACCTGGAGAAGGAATGTTTTCAGATTTCAGCAAGGAAGAAAGTAAAAGCAACAAAGCACAAAAAAAGGAAGATATGAACTGTAAGGTTTTGTGGGTTCCAGCTTCATGCGGTAAAGGATATTTCAATGTACTGGAAAGCCTTTTCCCTCAAAAGAAAACAGAAACTGGTGAAATCTCACAATCTGACACTGACGGAGGAAAAGCATGGACTGTGTTATTTCCACAGATGCATGAATTCAAGCAGGAAAATGACAAAGCATGGCAGCTTACAGAGATTCTAAAAGACTTGAACATGAATGTGATAGATGTTCCATGCAGGATTTATGAAAATGTCAGAGACATTTGCACTGAAGGTGAGAAGAGCCTTGTGACACCAGAAAGTGTCATACAGTTTCTAAAATCACAGACAGTTGACACCAAAGAAAGGTGTAATCTTGGGTCTCTGCCTCTGGAATTAGAATTCACATCTTTGAAGAGTATCAAATCACTAACATTATTGACAAAATTCTGTGAAATGCATCCTGAGTTTGGTTCTGAATTGCAAACTTTGCCACTTGCACTGACTGAATCCCAGCAATTGCATTGTTTTGATGCTACAAAGCCATTGTTTGTGACAAGACGCACACATCTGTTTTATAAAACTCCAGATGTGTTGCTGCACAACAGTCTAACTCATAGGTATAAAAAATACCTCAAAGACTCTGATTGTATAAAAGATCTTGATGTTACTTCATTGGCATGTTTGACTGAAAAAACATTTTCCAAAGATGTTTTGCGAACTGGCAAACCAGTTCTGTGGGAGGACTCCATAGAACATCCAACCAAGGAATGGATCTTTATGTTTTGGGATTACCTGTCTCAGCAAATATGCAATAAAAGGAAAGAACCGAATTTTGACACACAGGAGTTTTTGGCTGAGCTAGATAACTGGTCATTGTTTCCAGCGAGAAAGCAAGGGGAGAGCACTCTTTTACTGTATGGAATAAAAAATAGCAAATGTGTAATCTATCATCATCATTCACATAAGCACAAACTGTGTGAAACTGCTTTGCTAAATATGAAAGTTCCAATGCTTGAGACATCATTGTTTCATCCGTTTACTTCTTTCAGCGATATCATTGAAGTAACCTCATCCATTGCTGCAAGTGTGGAGAGACCAGACAGCATATTGAAATTATTATCAGACTTTGATTTCAATGATTGTCCTGATAATACTGCAGATGACAGTTTGGCTGTTTTAGAGTACTTCAGTGTAAACATTGAAAAACTCTGTGAACAACATGGTGAACAGTCTGCACAACAACTTCGGAGACTTCCTTTCTTTGAGCCTATGTGTGGACAGCAAGTTGCTTTACAAGATGACAGTGAGGTGTTAGCAGTTGAAGACTACACTTCCATACCACCTGATGGTTTCAGTGAATTGATCAGAGCATCAGGTGTACTGTTTCTTAAGAAGTATGTTTCATGTAGGAATATTTATGAAAAACTGAATATAGAGACAAAGACACGAGTGGATTTGTATGCCAATTACATCCTTCCAAACTTTGAATGTATGTCAAGTTCCGCCCAGCTTGCACATTTGGAATTCCTTCGTGATACCTTATTGCCCTTTTATGAAGAACTGGGTGTACCAAAAGGACTGATAGACAGGCTGAGAGAATTAAGATTCATTGAAGCCAATGAAGGCTTACGTCAGTGTGCTAACAATTTTTTCAGTCCTTATGAAGAAGTTTTCAAAGTGATGTGTGACCCATCTGTGTTCCCACCATCACCATATGATGAACCGACCTGGCAAAACTTCTTAAAATGTGCTGGTTTGAAAACAGATGTTTGCTCTCAACAGTATTTAACCTATGCTAGAGAAGTCGAAGACCTTGGTAGCAAAGGTATTACTGAAGATGTGTGCAAGAAGTCTAAAGTTTTGTGCAATTACTTAAAAGTCCACCATGAAAGAGTTCAAGAGCAACTGTCCCAAATTGGAAAGATCAAGTTTGTGTTGCCTCATACTGTAAAGGAAGAGTTAACAGCAATACATCCTCAACTGGATGATGGCAAACATCTAGTTTCCTACTGTGAATCACTTGCCTATGACAACTGCCACTGTATCTGGACTAGCTGTTCAATGTTCCACAGGGATACAAACCCACTTTCATGGAAATGGATGCCTAACACAAGCCACTGTTCTGCACTTGGCATCAGAACAACACCTGATCCAAAAGACGTAACAACGCATTTGCAAAACATATGCAGGTCTTTTGAAGAACTTCAGAACCAGAATTCTGTAGAAAGATTATCCAAGTTAAGAAGTATCATGGAAAAAGTCATGGAATGTATTTACAAATATTTACAAAAGGTTGGAGTCAGTGATTGGATGAAGCAACAGCTTAAAGACTTTTGCACAATCTACATTCCAGAGAAGAACTGTATGGTTCCAGCTTCAGAAGTTGTAAAAAGAATTCGTTTTGATGAGATTGTGGAAGGATATGTTTTTGGAATGCCAGACATATTAAATGACTTTTGGAAAGTCCTTCTTGAACTTGGTGCCTCAGAGGAATCACATGCTAACCTTTATGCATGTGTGCTGGCGAAACTGTACAAAAAGACACACATGCAGAAACTGGAAGGAAATTATCTGCTTGCAGCAGAGAAGGCCATTGAGCTCATGTTTACTTTCATGAAAGTGCAAAACAAGACAAATACACCCACATTAGAAGTGCCTACATTGTATCTACCAGATGCTAACTTGACATTAACAGACTCTTGCAAACTGGTCTTTATTGACAATAACTATTTCTCTGGAAGAGTTCAGTCTCTTGATTTGCAGTATTTTCTGGGATTTGAGAAGTTTCCTGATTTGAATAGTGATCCACTTCGACACATAAACATGCTACCTGAGCGCTATCAGCTGACAATGCTGTCATCTTCAGTCCAAGAAAATGTCACTGATGAGAGCAAATTGAAAGCATGTCCACATCAATTATCTCAGGAATATATGGAGATTATACATGAGTCAGAATTTGTTAGTGCAGTTATGAGACTGGTCAATCATGAACTGTTACGTCACAATCAATATCTGGACCAAACTGAAGCAAAGACAATTGAAGAACAACTGAGGAAGTTAGAAATTCATCAAGTTGAGAACTTACACACAGAACTGAGACAGAAAGATGGTATTCAAATACCCCGTAGCGAAGACAAAAAAAGCAGTATGGAAGAACACTTTAATGCAAAAGTATACCTATTCATTGACAATGACATTGACTCAGATGATTTATGTCAGGCCCTGACATCAACTGTTGATTCTTTGACTTCAAATAGACTGGGAAATTTCAGTTATCACATTAATCATCTATTGAAATCCAACCGAGAAACATACCAGAATTATTTGGATGAACACCGAATACGGCCATATAATCATGTTTGCGAAATGAGAGAAAACATTGCTTTTCCTATTCCCGGGACATTGATCCCAGAAGATATGCACTGGCTTCTGGACAACAATTTCCATGCCTTTGATGAATGGGAGTATGTTGGACTGGAGGTATATGATCCTGTCATTGACACAGATGCAAAGAAGGGAGATGATGAAGAGGTCAAACCAGAATATATTTATGCACTTGTGAAGAAAATCTTGCCAAAGGAAACTTCATGGATCAGGGGGCAGTATCTGGTGACACTTAGGAATGGCCATCTAGAGACCATACCTGGAACAAAGCTGTATAAAATAAGGAATATTAATCAGGATAAAAACAGTGCAACAGAAGAAATGTCCACTTCTCTCGATGAACTGCTTAAGCTTGAGCATAGAGACCTCAAGACAGTATTAGGGGAAATCAGAGATATTCTGACAGAAACATGGCGAACATGTACTGATCCGAAGGAGAGAAACAGGGTAAAGAAAAGATTGTATTTAACTTGGCATCCGGATAAGAATCTTGGGGAAGAAACTTTCTGTACTGAAGTGTGTCAGTATATTCAGTTATATGTGACAAAACTTGACAATGGGCAGAGAATCACCGAAGATGTCGATGTTGATGACATGCAATCACATTCATCCTTCTTTGAACATATGAAGAAGAGAAGTTCACATCAAAGGGATCAGTACAAACAATGGAAGCAAGACCAAACATTTGACAATCGTCACCACTCTGCCAGGAATAAAGCTCATCCTCAACCACAGGAAGCAAAACGGTGGCTCAGACAGGCATCATGTGACTTGAGGTCAGCCAGAGACACTCTCCATCTTGGTAGAGATTTTAATTGGGTGTGCTTCAAAGCTCTGAAGGTAAGCTTGTTTGACAATACATGTATACTGAAATTTGGATATGATCAATGATGTAATTGTAGATCGCAATGGATAATTTGGATTATATATCAACTTTGTGTGCTTGTATCACTTTCGATGATATACATTCAGTCTATCACTACAAATGAACACAAAATTTGTATTATTGACACAGAAACTCACTTTGTTTTATATTTGGCCCCATTCCCCTTTTCCTTGTTTTACAAAAGTTTTTCAACTACACAGAACCAACTTTATGGTTGTATTGTGAGCATTAGTTACTTAAGCTTATTCGGTAAAAAAATTACATGTATTTATTAGTTGGGGTCATCACCATGTTCACTATTGAAATCAAACTGTGTGCTCTTCCAGTCACTTTATATGTTAGATTATTATAAATGTACTTTTGAACAGCGTACAGTCGAACACCAGTGTCTCAAACTCAAATGCCATATCAAACTCACAATCCTGTTCAAGCAAACTCTTACTATGTTTATCACTATTTGAACATGGAAGTGTCAAATAGCCAGTTGTCTCAACTAGGGCTGGGACGAGTCCAAATTTACTACCCGGGTACCAACACCCTTATTACCCGACCCTACCTGGGTACCCGCTGTTGGTGTCCAGAGATAGGTACAAAATGTCCGATTGGGAATAGTTTGATAGTAGCCCTGGCAGAATGTATCTAGATACACATATAAAACGATGTGGCCATGCAAACACTTAAGTTCTGGCTTTGTTCAAACATATATAAGTCAGAAGGGACGTGTTCATAGTCATGAAGAAATGCGAACATTAGAGACTTAAAATTGTCGTGTAACCATGTAGTTATATAGTGATTTTTTGCCATGAAAAAATATAGTGACTAGTGACTAACCACGGGTCCAGGTAGTGGTACCTGGGTCCTACTCTGTACCTACCCGACCCGAGTACCCGAGTTACCCGTCCCAGCCCTAGTCTCAACCTTAGTTTATAGACTCAAGAATTAGAAATAAGTTAAAACTTACTAACTCAAACCTTTTGAAAAACACAACTGAACACAAGTTGGAATATATATTAAGTATATTTACCTAAACGCTCCATGGGGAGAAACACCAAAGATGGAAACCAATGACATGTAAACAATTAAAGTTACGGTAAGTCTGTAACAAATTTATTGTGATGCCTTCTTCTATCAGGGAAGAAATGACGATAGTTAAACATTTGAGACAGTCAGTACCAAATCATAACAACTTGTGGTCAGATGATCTTCCATCATACGCATGATGTACCATATTCTACATAATAAGCGCCTAGGGCGCTCTCAAGATTAGAAATAGGGGTCTCTCATTAGAATATTATTTTGGTGAATTGAAAGATCCTAAAAGAAAGACAGCCTGAAATGTTTATATACGACAGATATATTTTTCCAGAATTTAATAGCCCATAAGGGTGCATATAACACATGAGTATGCGAATAAATAAGTCTTGTGTACATTAATCAATCGGAAATTGTGCTAATTGGGATTGTTCACTAGCCAATATATATCAAATATTGCCGTGGGCATTTATTAGACCGGGGCGTGTATTACGTTGAATACGGTATTTATTGTTTTGCTGGGGATGTAGGTGTAGGTGGATGCGTTTACATTGATCAGTTGGAAGGGGTGGTAATCTGGATTGTTCACTAGCCAATATATCAGCAAATATCGCCATGGGTGCTCATTAGAGCAGGGTGCTTATTACGTTGAAGATGGTATTATCAAATTGTGAAATGTGTGAAATGAATCAGGATAATGTTTAGGGTTTGAAAAAAATATTAATATTATGTGAGATTAAATTGAAACATGAAATTGTTTTTTCTGATATTTCTTTTCTGATAAGAAATACAGTCAATGTTCAGACAATCCATGTCAGATTCTCTTTGCTCATTCACAAAGTTTTGATTTAAAGATGGGAATCCCTTTCTAAAAGAAACACAAGGCATTACACATACTTACTATTCTATTTTATTTCCTGTTGGTCATCGTGGGACCCCCATTTTTAATGCCTTGGACTGGCATGTATTACTGAGAGTCCCAAAGACTTGAAAATATATAGAACTTGGTAAATTATGGAAAGTTTGCAAATCTGTAATTCTAACTACAGTATTACATAATATCTATGAGAATATTTGGTGTTAACCGTCCTTGGCTCTTTAGATGAAAGGAGTTTGTCACTTCACTCTTAAATGAAACAGATTCAAAATGCACTGCCAGTAATGGTCATCTGCCAATGGTTATTCCAAATGGTGTTAAAGCCAAAATAGAGCTAAAACTAAACCACTCAAAGTCAATGATGACACCAGGTGTTCTCAAAAAAGGTAGGCATGCCCTGCTCCACCTGTAGCACCTGTCACTCAGATAATTTGCATAAAAAAGTAAGTGGCTGTTGCTTAACGCCACACCCAGCAATACTCCTGTCATCAAATTTGGACCAGACAATCCAATGATAGCAAGTTTGGTCCAGACAATCCAGTGATAGCCCATTTAATGATTTTGTTGACACTAGATACAAAAAGTTAACTTTGAATTACTTCTGCTGCAAACTGGTGCAGAAATTCTGCTGCTTACAAGCAAAGAGAAACACTTAGGAAATGTCTTCGTTACAGTTGTTGGTTGGTTGGTTTTTTAACGCCGCAATCAGCAATAATCCAGCTATATGACGGCATTCTGTAAATAATCGAGTGTGGACCAGACAATCCAGTGATTAATATCCTGAGCATCGATCCATGCAGATGGGACCGATGATATGCATCAACCAAGTCAGCGATCTAACCCACTCATCCACTGAGGCCTCCACAAAACTGAACGCCCGACAACTGGTAGTCTAGATCACGTACTAGAATCTGTACTTTACTAAGAAAGTGTTATCCCCAAAATAACATTTGTTATATCATAATAGCTGTTACAGAATGAATAAGAATACTGTCTTCAGTGTATCAAGCACCCTGCTCCAACAAGCACCACCTGACCAATATTTCAATACAAAGACGAAAATTTTAAATCGCACACCCTATTGTCTTGTGTATATTACAGATTTATTGCAGAAAACAGCAGTGTAGGAGTGGTATGTAATTGCCATGTAACTCTTGTTAAAAATAATTGTATTTTCATCAACGTTTGAACAAACATTGTGCATGGTTTTAATAAGCGCTCTCCTTTAACAGTTTTCTGAGCATCCTGATCACTTATAGCAGCAATTTTGGTTGAGTATTTTTCCTCAGAACTAAAAGACCCGTGACGATCTGGGGTAGAATAGGTCATTAACCCATGCTATGCTTGTTGTAGGAGGCGACTAACTCGATCGGGTGGTCAGGCCCAATTGCGTGAATCGATACTCATGATATCAATCACTGGATTTTCTGGTCCAGACTCGATTATTTACTGACCACCGTCACATAGCTGGAAAATTGTTGAGTGCGGCGTTAAACAAGAACCCAACAAACCAACCAATCAGAATAAATAAGGCTTGGCTGAAAATTTGTGAGCATGATATTGACAACAACTTTGTTTTGGTCACAATAATCTGCACTTAACATTGGCCATTGCTTGTTGACAATATTGCGGAAAAAGGTTACTAAGTGATACATATCAGAAGAAACTGCTTAACTGGTACCAGACATTGCCAAAAGCAGTGATACTTTGGTACTGTCAGGTTAAAATGATGTTGTTTAGAGTTCAAGCACAACTAAAGTTTTTATATTCCAAGGACATTTACTTTCATCCTTGTCGTTTTGGTCCCCGGCCAGGTTGGTCGGCTCGGAGTCAGTATTATGTGTCTGAGTAGAGTATTTATGTTAAACTGTTAAACTCAGTGAGCTAGCAATATAAATAAGCCAGACTAGTACAAGCAGACACACACACACATGGACACACACACACGTACATGCATGTAGCTATATAAGCGCAATAATCTTGGACGCAACGTTAAACCCCATTTCCCTCACCTTATCGTTGTCACAGTATTGGTTCCATGTTCCAGGCAGCTGAGAAGGCTGTCATAGCTGGCTGGTACAACAGGAATGCTTACAAGGCAGAGAAACTCCGGAAAACAGGCATCATCAAAGCGGCAGCTGGGTTGGAAAATGTCCGTTTTTCTGAGTTTGTGACTCAGCTTCAAAATATAGTTGGCGACTATGACAGAATGCACTTTCCCGATAGGCTTACCTGTCCACTCATCCCAGCTGATGTATACACAGAAAGTACAGCAACACAGGCATGTCAACTCGCAGAAATTGTTCTTATTCTAGCTGAAGAAATGTGAGGTGAGATACTTTATTTATGCACATGTTTTGTTTGTTTGTTTGTTTGTTGTTTAATGCCGCAATATTCCAGCTATATGACGGTGGTCTGTAAGTAATCGTGTCTGGACCAGACCATCCAGTGATTGATATCATGAGCATCGATCCATGCAATTGGGATATGAAGACATGCATCAACAAGGTCACCGAGCCTGTAATTAACAGCTGATCCTGTTAGTCGCCTCATACAACAAGCATAGTCGCATAGTATGGGTTGCTGAAGACCTTTTCTTAACTGGACCTTCACAGGTCTTACGCACATGTTTGACCACTTATGTCAATACACCATATTATCCTTATCCTTGGACTTTTGTAATTTTGAAGTACTTCTATGCATGGCCATGATATATGACTCGTATCATGGTTTGTTGTCAATTCACATCTCCAGACAAACATGCAACGTCAGTACCATAAAAGTATTCACTCTTGTCCACTCACTCTCTTTCTCCACTCACTCGGCTTGGAGTCAGTATACTGTGTCTGAGTGGGGTGTTTATGTTTAACCGTGGCATGGTATCTCAGTTGGCTAGCACAAGAAAACTTTGAACACACCTTGCTGACTTTGTCCATGCATGTCATCATATCCATTTGCAAAGATCGATGTTTGTGATGGATTCCTGGAGTGAGTGAGTGAGTGAGTTGGGTTTAACGCCGCTTTTAACAGTATTCCAGTTATATCACGGCGTGTCAGCTTAATGTAGGAGGAAAGCCCGAAGTGATGCAGGTCTCAGACGTTTACCACTTCGGTGAAACCCACGAGCACGGGTACGGTGCTGACAAACCTAGAAACATAATTGGGGCGAACCGGGATTCGAACCCACAATCATAGGTTTCTGGCGTGCCCAAGGGACACAACTCTGCACAGCGAATCGCGGCGCCTTAGACGACTGGGCCACCCATGCCCCCTGGATTGCTGAGTGCAGTTTAAAACGACAAACAAGCAACATGTATTGACTTAGCTATCATATAACCATATTTACTTCTGTTTGTTTGTTGTTTAACGCCGATCTGGGCAATATCCCAGCTATACGAAGGTGGTCTGTAAATAATCAAGTCAGGATCAGACAATCCAGTGTCTGAAATCATGAGCATCGATCCAAGGGGTTGGGATACATCAACCAAGTCAGCGAGTCTGACCACCCGATCTTGTCAATCGCATCTTACGACAAGCACAGTCGCCAAACATGGCAACCATGGCTTTCTGAAGACCTATTCTACCTCGGGTCTTCATGGGTCGATTTGTACTTGATCCCATCAGTACCAACTTCTGTTATGTTGAAGTAGTGATGCCATCAGTACCAACTTCTGTTATGTTGAAGTAGTGATGCCATCAATACCCAACTTCTGTTATGTTGAATTAGGGATCCCATCAATACCCAACTTGTGTCATGTTGAAGTAGTGATCCCATCAGTACCAACTTCTGTTATGTTGAAGTAGTGATGCCATCAGTACCAACTTCTGTCATGTTGAATTAGGGATCCCATCAATACCCAACTTGTGTCATGTTGAAGTAGTGATCCCATCAGTACCAACTTCTGTTATGTTGAAGTAGTGATGCCATCAGTACCAACTTCTGTCATGTTGAAGTAGTGATCCCATCAGTACCAACTTCTGTTATGTTGAAGTAGTGATGCCATCAGTACCAACTTCTGTCATGTTGAATTAGGGATCCCATCAATACCCAACTTGTGTCATGTTGAAGTAGTGATGCCATCAGTACCAACTTCTGTTATGTTGAAGTAGTGATCCCAATGTTACCAACTTCTGTCATGTTGAATTAGGGATCCCATCAATACCCAACTTCTGTTATGTTGAAGTAGTGATGCCATCAGTACCAACTTCTGTCATGTTGAATTAGGGATCCCATCAAAACCCAACTTCTGTTATGTTGAAGTAGTGATCCCAATGTTACCAACTTCTGTCATGTTGAATTAGGGATCCCATCAATACCCAACTTCTGTTATGTTGAAGGAGTGATGCCATCAGTACCAACTTCTGTTATGTTGAAGTAGTGATGCCATCAGTACCAACTTCTGTCATGTTGAATTAGGGATCCCATCAATACCCAACTTCTGTTATGTTGAAGTAGGGATCCCATCAGTACCAACTTCTGTCATGTTGAATTAGGGATCCCATCAATACCCAACTTCTGTTATGTTGAAGTAGTGATGCCATCAGTACCAACTTCTGTCATGTTGAATTAGGGATCCCATCAATACCCAACTTCTGTTATGTTGAAGTAGTGATCCCATCAGTACCAACTTCTGTTATGTTGAATTAGGGATCCCATCAATACCCAACTTCTGTTATGTTGAAGTAGGGATCCCATCAGTACCAATTTCTGTTATGTTGAAGTAGTGATGCCATCAGTACCAACTTCTGTCATGTTGAATTAGGGATCCCATCAATACCCAACTTCTGTTATGTTGAAGTAGTGATCCCATTGTTACCAACCTCTGTTATGTTGAAGTAGTGATCCCATTGTTACCTACTTCTGTTATGTTGAAGTAGTGATCCCACTGTTACCAACTTCTATTATGTTGAATTAGGGATCCCATCAATACCCAACTTCTGTTATGTTGAAGTAGGGATCCCATCAGTACCAACCTCTTTTATGTTGAAGTAGTGATCCCAATGTTACCAACTTCTGTCATGTTGAATTAGGGATCCCATCAATACCCAACTTCTGTTATGTTGAAGTAGGGATCCCATCAGTACCAACTTCTGTTATGTTGAAGTAGTGATCCCATCAGTACCCAACTTCTGTCATGTTGAATTAGTGATCCAATGTTACCAACTTCTGTTATGTTGAAGTAGTGATCCCATCAGTACCAACTTCTGTTATGTTGAAGTAGTGATGCCATCAGTACCAACTTCTGTCATGTTGAATTAGGGATCCCATCAGTACCAACTTCTGTTATGTTGAAGTAGGGATCCCATCAGTACCCAACTTCTCTCATGTTGAAGTAGTGATCCAATGTTACCAACTTCTGTTATGTTGAAGTAGTGATCCCATTGTTACCAACTTCTATTATGTTGAAGTAGTGATCCCATTGTTACCAACTTCTGTCATGTTGAAGTAGTGATCCCATCAGTACCAACTTGTGTTATGTTGAAGTAGTGATCCCATCAGTACCAACTTCTGTTATGTTGAAGTAGTGATCCCATCAGTACCAACTTGTGTTATGTTGAAGTAGTGATCCCATCAGTACCAACTTCTATTATGTTGAAGTAGTGATCCCATCAGTACCAACTTGTGTTATGTTGAAGTAGTGATCCCATCAGTACCAACTTCTGTTATGTTGAAGTAGTGATGCCATCAGTACCAACTTCTGTCATGTTGAATTAGGGATCCCATCAATACCCAACTTCTGTTATGTTGAAGTAGTGATCCCATCAGTACCAACTTGTGTTATGTTGAAGTAGTGATCCCATCAGTACCCAACTTCTCTCATGTTGAAGTAGTGATCCAATGTTACCAACTTCTGTTAGGTTGAAGTAGTGATCCCATCAATACCCAACTTCTGTTATGTTGAAGTAGTGATCCAATCAATACCCAACTTCTGTTATGTTGAAGTACTGATCCCATTGTTACCAACTTCTGTCATGTTGAAGTAGTGATCCCATCGGTACCCAACTTCTGTCATGTTGAAGTGATGATCTCATCAGTACCAACTTGTGTTATGTTGAAGTAGTGATCCCATCAGTACCCAACTTCTGTCATGTTGAATTAGTGATCCAATGTTACCAACCTCTGTTATGTTGAAGTAGTGATCCCACTGTTACCAACTTCTATTATGTTGAAGTAGTGATCCCATTGTTACCAACTTCTATTATGTTGAAGTAGTGATCCCATCAGTACCAACTTGTGTTATGTTGAAGTAGTGATCCCATCAGTACCAACTTCTGTTATGTTGAAGTAGTGATCCCATCAATACCCAACTTCTGTTATGTTGAAGTAGTGATCCCATCAGTATCCAACTTCTGTCACGCTGAAGTAGTGATTCCATCAGTACCCAACTTCTGTCATGTTGAAGTAGTGATCCCATCGGTACTCAACTTGTGTCATGTTGAAGTAGTGATCCCATCAGTACCAACTTCTGTTATGTTGAAGTAGTGATTCCATCAGTATCAAGCTTCTGTCACGTTGAAGTAGTGATCCCATCAGTACCCAACTTCTGTTATGTTGAAATAGTGATCCCATCAGTACCCAACTTCTGTTAAGTTGAAGTAGTGATCCCATTGTTACCAACTTCTGTTATGTGGAAGTAGTGATCCCATCAGTACCAACTTCTGTTATGGCCTGTTGATTGAGCTGTCTAAAGTCCGCGCACATGCGCAGCTTTCCACTATTCTTCGGCATCAATACAACATTAGATGACCAAGGTGAAAAGGACTGACGGATGATGCCACTTGCAAGAAGTTGTTGTTGATGCTCCTTCACTTCTTGGTACATGGCTGGTGGAATTCGTCTGTGCCTTTCCTTAAAAGGTCGTTCATTCTCTAGGTCAATCCTATGCTTCACTGTTGTCACAAGCCCAATGTCCTGTTCTCCAATAGAACATACACCTAGAAACTGTGAAATAGTTTCCTTCCCAAGCCTGAGCTGTTCAGGTGTAACTGCAGTCTCATTGAAATCCATTAAGTCCATGACCTGTTGACCTTCACCTTGAGGAAATGTATCAGCTCGAAGATCCGCAATGGAGACAACGTGGAGTTCACATAGCAGGGCACGGCTTGGAATAGACACAGTTCTTGTGGTGACATTGGAGACATGAACTGGAACCATGATCTTCTCATCATGATGGAAAATGACAAGTGTAGGGGCAATGTCTAGATCAGATGGGATGGCAGAGTTTTTAGTCGGTTGTACAACAGCACATGTGTCTTTGCAGGCAATAGGCTTGTACAAGTATCCTTGGATAACTCTCTTGGTGTTAGGTGGAATGGTGCAACGATTGTG